GGATAAAAGAATGCCCAGTCTTTTAGACTCTGGAGCGTGTGGGCGACCTGTAGGTCCTTGCCGCATGATTAGGCTTCACGGTAAAGCATGCCTGTGCTTCTCGTACACCCTCCTGTGCTTTTAACATTAAAACAGATGACCGGGGGCTTAGCCTACTAACTCATGGTCCTGTGTCATGCATACAGATCGCTGGATGTTTTCTGCTAGCTGAACACGCAGGTGTCACCAGATCCGCATTCCAAAGGTGTTAGGGGTTGCTGTTCCGGAAGCTCCCTAGTGTCTCCTCTTTCCTCAAGGATAACAACTGCCTACAGCAAGGGCCTCTGTGTGCCCAGGACTTTATGTGGGGTGCTTTGAGATTTGGCTGTGTTGCTGGGAGTTGCCTGGTCGTACTTGGTTCTCAATCTGTGGAAGTGTCTTTCACCTGGGGGCCCTCATATCCCCCAGAGAGTTAACACATGAGTTTTGACTGAGGGGTAGTGTTCTGGAATCCCAGAGGACGCTTGTCTGAGAAGTCCTCAGGGGCTTATCTTCCTTGAATATCTCTTTCTGACCTTGTCACACCACTGTGCCTCCTTCACGTGGGGCAGGAGAGTAAGGTAGAAAGTGAGGTCTAGAAGATCTTTTAAAATTAGTATATAAAAGAGCAACAAAAAAAGTCAGTAAAGAGGAAGGCTGGAAAACCTAAAATGAGGCCCATAAATCCAGCCCCTGGCCTGGGCTCTCTTGTCTCAAGGTGGCCTGTGCCTCATTATAATATGATCGTGTACACTTCTGGTGGAGATTCACTGTGTTGTTCTAATTTATCCTGATGCTGTGATACTTACCTAAAAGCAACATGGAGGAAGAGAGGGTTTATGCAACGTACAATTCCTTATCTCAGCTAAGGCAGAAACTTAAGGCAGGCCTGTTTGCTAGTGCATGCCACACTACCTCTGACCAAGGGACTCACTTCACAGCCTATGAAGTACAGCATGAACCATGGGAGAAGCTGCTTGCTAGCTGGTTCACAACTATGCTCAGCTAATTTTCTTACACAGTTTAGAACCACCTGCCCACGGAATGATGCCACCCATAGTGGTACAACTGTTAACAATCAAGCCAGTCTCTCACAGACATGCTTACAGGTCATTCTGCTGTAGGCAGTTCCTCAGTGGAGGCCCCTTCCCAGATAATCCTAGGTCCTATCAGGTTAACAGTTAAAGCTCACTAGGACAGATGCTGAAGAAGCACGGTGTGTGAAATTGTCATAGAACTATACCTAATGATAGAGCATGCTCGGAGAAGCTGTGTTATGCAAATGAGGGGGGGAATTGGTCTTGTGGAACATAGGACACCTCCCCTCCCCATCCTTTGGACAAGTTGAGTTGTTTAGTTTTGTGCACTGACAAATTCCTCCCCTGTATCCTTTTCAAAATAAACAAACAAAAGAAACAAAACTGTATTGGCTTCTGTTGCAACTATGTTTCTCTGCTCTTCTTTTTTTTTTTTTTTAACCAAGAGTCCCACTGGAGGTGACCTCTGGACCTTGATATTAACCAAGTGGCATCTCTGGACCAGGTAGAGACCCAACCAGAGTCCTGCTGTGATACTGGCCTCTGCAGTTAGGCTAAAAGAGTTTCATTTTGCTGTGCCCTATGATATGGAGCTTTGGGTCCCCTGGCTTGTCACTATTCACCCAAACCAGTTCCCCTCTGTAGAGCGCAAACCTGTGGCAGAGATTTCCTCAAACCTATGGTAGAGATTTCCAGGTATAATTTGGTCAGACCATGGCCAGGAGGCTCTAGAGTCCTGTCACACATTTTGCAAAAATTGACCTTCCCTCCCCCTACCCGAGACATTGTCACCAACTTGGAGGACAGTGGTAGCATGGGTCAGAAGATGGTAGCCAAGACAGAACCTTCTGGAAAGGAAGCAGTGAGGCTCAGACCTCATGATATTCCCAGCAGCTAGAAATCAAGGCTGGCTGGCTGCTGAACTCCCTTTCTTCTCCGACCTGGGGCTGAGACGGTGGTGGGAACAGTCACGGGTTCTCTCTGAAGCTTTGGGATGCTCAGGGGATCTTGCCTACGATCACACAGCTGGGAGAGGGTGAGGCAGAATAAGAATCCACGTTCCCAAACAAAGGAGTGGCTGCCAGCGACACAGAACAGGGAGGTCACTCCTCCAGCTGAGGAAGTCCAGTTGCCCTGACCAAAAAGCAAAGATCAGGGCCAGAGGCCTAGGACAAGACCATCAGGATACTAAGCCTTCTCTGCTTGCTAGTAACCCCTCCTTCCACACTGTGCAGCCCTCCACACAGGGAGCAATCTAGGGGTAGGAGCACAAGGCAGATGTCTCTCAGTGTGTCTATGGACCACCCTCTCTCCTATGCTTAAGAGTACTGGGTGAGGCAGGTGTCTGCTGCTAATTCTCCTGTAGCCCAGTGGGTGTGGAATGAGGCTGCTCATGTTCCCCTGAGATTGGGGGAGGGGAGAAAAGGTGTTCCCCTCAACATGGCCTAGCAGTGTGTGACCCACCCATGAGGCGGGGGATGTCGTATACCAAGCCCAGGATACCAGGTTCAGCATGGGTCCCTCACTGTGCCATCACTCTATCTCCTAATGAGACTGTCCTGTCTCTATGTCAGGCCCCAGCAGGAAGAGATTTCCTGGCCTCTCTGTTGTCCCAAATATGAACATGCCTTCCTCTGGCCTCTTTTCCTCCTGGAAGCTTCTGTCTGTGCAGCTCAAGGATTAAGAGAGATCATGGTGCTTCTTTTGTCGAATGGACAAGGCTTAAACAAATCTCCTAGGTCATTCTTTTTCTCTTCCCGGCTAAACAAATGGTCCACTTACATAAATTACTTTTATTTCTCTGTGTGGAAAGAGTCAAAGACTGTGAAATATATATAATGTGCAAAGATGGTTGAAAAAATAAATTGAGGGATTAGAGGCTTTCCATTTGTACCTGAGTAGAATGTGCTCTGTCTCGGCCCTGGCCGATGGCTAGACTGAGAGCCATGCCCTATAGACATGCTGGAGACAGCAGCTCCTCTCAGCTAAAGGCGTAAGGCAAGGAAAGTATTCAGCCTTCTCTCCAGCTTTGATTCCTTGGTTTAATCATTGTTTAAATTTTGAGATAAGGTCTTATGCTGTATTATGCTGTATTGCTCAAGTTCACCCCAAATTCATGGCAATCCACCCACATGCTCAGGCATGAGCTAGCATCCTATCAGCCTGCTTTGTTTCTCTCTCTCTCTCTCTCTCTCTGTGTGTGTGTGTGTGTGTGTGTGTGTGTGTGTGTGTGTGATTTTTAGAGACAGAGTTCTCTGTGTAATCCTGGCTGTCCTGGAACTCACTTTATAGCTGGCCTAGAAGCTGTGGGCTTAACTGGATGTGATGACTCAAGCCTTTAATCCTAGCATTCTAGTTCCACTCCAGCTAGAGCTGCATAGTGAGAGCTGGTAAAAGAAGGAAGGAAGGAAGGAAGGAAGGAAGGAAGGAAGGAAGGAAGGAA